TGTGTGTGTGTGTGTGTGTGTGTGTGTGTGTGTGTGTAGATGGCAGCCTGGTCTGTTCCAGCGATGGGGTGCAGCCAGAAGCTGGATCAGCGCAGGGATCAGCCTGGCCTCGGCTGCTTGTGGGCGTAGCTGTAAATGCTAAGAGCCTGCACATCCCTTCACCCTGCTAGCGTATGCGGGGGATCATGCCCAGTAAATATATATATATACACATAAAGCACATAGAGGGTTAATACTCTAGAAAAGTCTAGAAAATACCACAGTTCGCTCTTGATAATTGCCTCGACTGAAAATTCAAGCTGTGTCAGCAATTTGGCTATGCAGGTAAATGACTTGAAAGATTTCCTTCTAATTTATCCATATCAGCTATTCCTACTGTCCTGCTTATGGGGTGGATCATCACACATCAGTGGAAACCAAAACCCTCCGTTTTTTCTCCTGACCAGTTTAGCTGTTTTGCCCTCCCACTCCCAGTGAATTCACCGCACGTCGTCATCTCCATACAGTCCCGTGATCCTTCTGCCACCCTGTGGCCATCAGTGAAATGAGAGCTAGTAGGTGTAACCCTGAGTGACCAGTGCATTCCTGAGTATCACAGCAGCTCTACAGAATGACACATCGGTTTATGATAGGATTCCCCAGTTACGGCCAGAATCCCAAACAGGAAACCATCCTCTTCCCGTAGATTAGGACCCCATTATGACAGTCTAATGTGCAAAGACTAATTATCAACAAGTCTGAAGAGGTGCGAAGTCTATATCTGGTATTGAACTGGTGTTCGACTATTGCTATTTATACCCAGAGTCTTCACCCCCCCCCCCCCACACACACACACACACACACAGGGAGGTCCATGACTAACAGACACTGGTAGCTTGATCACTCTCATCCTCCCATGATGGTCCTTCATACTAACTTTGCTTTCGTGGCTCCCTGCTCTGTCCCCGCAGAGATGCTTGTAAGGCACATGTATCTCTCTGTAACTCTTTCACTCCCCCATCTCATGTCCTTCTGCCCCCAAACATCTGCAGTCTTTGCCAACCCTCCCCCCCCCCCCCAGCGGGCGTTTCCTGGGGGCCCCTTTCAGGTTAGCTGGCCAGTGCTCTCTCCTTCCCTGCCCTCTGTAGCCCCATTCTGGCCCGCCTAGCCCGCACAGAGGAAACGCTGCTGGATGTTCACAGGAGGAAGTTAAGGATCTGGGGTAGTATGGTCTCCTAGTGCGTACGGTGCAGAGCGCCAGCCGGCCTCCAGAGGCTGGGAGCTTCCAGGCCCTCCGGCTGCTCGGCCCCAAGTACAGGACGGGGCGGGGTCGTCATTAGCCGAATTGACGCACTAATGCCCCTGTGCTTTTACGCTAATGGTTTTGATTCCACCAAGCTCTTTGCTGGATTTATTCCTGATCCGTAAGTGTATCTAGGACGGGTGGATTGAGTCCCGGGGGTCCGCAGCGGGGGAGCGGAGGGACTGATATGCCATTGATACCTGATGTAGAGGCCGCTGTGCTCCGACCGGGGCACATGACCCCCCCAGACCAGTGGGCTTAGACGGGACGAGCTGTGGGGGCCTTTCTGCACACGACTAATTGTTCATTCACACTCCCTGGCGGGAAATCCCTGCCACACCAGAGAAGCCATCACAAGAAGGGGGAGGGGGACAGATGTGGAGACTGGCACTGCTGCTGTCTGGCACAGGGATTAGCTTACCGGCCCCTCTGCTGTTTGCTGGCCCTGCCAATCCCTTAAGCGGGGGGGGGGGGGGGGGGTAAATCTGATCTGAGCTGAAGGACAGGAATAGCATGGTGAGGGTGAGGTCAGCAATCTCCGTGGGGTAGTGGGGGGGGGGGGGATGCCCTGAGAAAAAGTGCTGCATGAGAAAGAGTGGCCACGTTGGGGGGAGTTTTTTTTTCCCATTTCATCTCCTATGACCTATTAAGCGTACAAGCGTACAACTTTTTTTTTCATGGGGAATGTAATGCACGGTCCCCCCCCCCCCCCCCCACGCCGAGGCGGCTCGTTAAGTAGGTTAATGGATTGGCTGTGGAGGAGGAAATAGAGGAAGGGGAAGGTATGTGGTTGCATGTCTGCTCTGGAGCATGAGCGAGACGGAATGAATGGTGCTCTCGGCCACCATGAATGACACGTTGTCAGGTAAGCCCCCCGCCAGGGTCCCGCGCTCAGCCCGCACGCACGCCGCACACGCTCTGTCCAGACCCTGCCGTCTCTGCCTGCCGTCTCTCTGCCTGCCGTCTCTCTGCCTGCCGTCTCTCTGCCTGCCGTCTCTGCCTGCCGTCTCTCTGCCTGCCGACCGTGATCGATACAGCAGGAAGATGCTGGTTCTGCTCGCCGTTCCTCTGCAGTGTTTGCTGGCTTTCTAATGCAGGTGTCTCTACTGTAGGCTTCTATCTTCTGTTTTCTTCTAAAAGTTGTGCATGTGCGGCCATAACATTGATTGTTTTAAATAATTATTGTTATTATTTGCCAAGGCTCGGGTTTGAGTGAGGAGTGTGACTGCTTTAGAGGACCAGACTCTGACTCTGGGTAGTGAAAATGAAAGATAACTGTTAATAAGAGCTGGTGGTGGGGTAGCATTTGCCTGGGCGTGCAGTGGAAGCCTGCTGGGTGTGTCTGCCCAAGCGCTGCCCAGGACGTCTTTGGCACAGGTGCCTGAGGAGTCTGAGCGAGGTCTTGGTGCCAGTTGGGTGCTGGTTTTTATTTCGACGAGGTTGATTCAAAATCTGGGTGAAATGACAAGTCGCAGAATGCCGCTTTAATTAATGGGCTGGTGTAGAGCGATGGTCAGAGTGAGAGTCTGCGTGATGGCAGAGCCCCCCCCGGAGATGCTGCCGGAGACCCCGTGGCAGTGCATCCCAGGCATGGGTGCCTGGCTGACCGGAACCTTAGCGCCAGCTGCTGGTCCGCAGGCTCCATTACACACCATCCTACCACACATCTGTACATGTCCCCAGTATCAGCATAACAAGCCGAACAGTGTAGCAAACGTAGTGTGCTTTGGGGGGGCCAGGAGAGACAGGGTCTGGGCAGACCCTTCCGGGTGACTGTCTCGGCTGGTGGTGGCACCCTCGGAGCTCACCCTTCCCCGTTTGGTTCCGCCCGTAGCACGCAAGCAGGAGATCATCAAGATCACCGAGCAGCTGATCGAGGCTGTCAACAATGGGGACTTTGAGGCATATGCGTGAGTCACCTGCGGGTCCGCCTGGGAGATGCAATCACTCCGCTCCTGATCCGATCGTGTTCTTCTTTTCTGTCCATCCAATAACTTCTGTACGTGTAGTTTTTCATGTTGACGTCTCTCAGAATGTGACGCCCTTCATGTCTCTCCACGACAGGAAGATCTGTGACCCTGGATTGACCTCCTTCGAACCCGAAGCCCTGGGGAACTTGGTGGAGGGGATGGACTTCCACAGATTCTACTTTGAGAACCGTAAGTGCTGCTGGGTTGGGGCCAGAGCAGGACGCGGTTGCGGGTTATGCTGTGAGGCGAGCGATTGACCCACGCTGCCTCCTCGCCCCCCGCAGTGCTCTCCAAGAACAGCAAGCCCATCCACACGACCATCCTGAACCCGCACGTGCACCTGATCGGCGAGGACGCGGCCTGCATCGCCTACATCCGCCTGACGCAGTTCGTGGACGGTCAGGGACGCCCGCGCAGCAGCCAGTCGGAGGAGACGCGCGTGTGGCACCGGCGCGACGCCAAGTGGCAGAACGTGCATTTCCACTGCTCGGGGGCCCCGGCGGCACCGCTCCAGTGAAGGTGCGGGGTCGGGGTGTGTCTGTGGTGAGGGGGAACAGCTTGACTGTGTGTGTCTGTCTGTGTCTCTGTGCTCACGCTGAGGTCGGCTCTCCTCTCGTCCGTCTGTCTTGCAGGAGCGATACTGTAGCCCCTCTGGAGGAGAGTGCCCGACTGGGGGGGAGGGAGCGAGGAAGACCGCCAGCCAAGGAGGGACCAGGCCTCCCACGCTGGGCACCCGTCCTCACACGCATGCACACATCCCTGTAGCTACCACCTGGCCGCCCCGCCCTGCCCCCCATCGCCCCGCCCCCCATCTCATGCCCTGCTGCCAGCAGCTCACACTCCCCTACATGGTGCCACTCGCTAGGGCAGTAGCATTTCCAGGTAGCATTAGATGGGGGGGCAGTTCCGCGATGCTCCCCCGTGACTCTGGCTTCCTGCACAGCACCTGCAGCAGCAGCAGCGCAGTCTCAGCAACCCTCGTCTCATTTTAAAGGGGATCCTCTCCTTATTTTCATCATTATTAATATAATCACTATTATTACAATAACCACAGTTAACATTCTGGTTGCTGCACATGTACTTTGTACGATTCACACTCTCGATGCCAGTGGTTCCCACACTTCACGGTGACCTCTCTCTCTCTCTCTCTCTCTCTCACACACACACACACACACACGATTTTTGAGAAAGCATGATTTTTTCAGTATCACAGTGGCTGTTTTCTATTGTGCTTTTGAAACAGACAGGCTGCCCCTTGGCCGTTTTGTATACGCTTGCGTCCCCCGCGGAGAGCCTCCAGCGGCCCGGCGTTTGGGTGAGGCAGCCGGTCCGAGGCTCTGCAGCCCCGTGGACGATCTGCTGATGGCTCTCGCTTGGCCCAATTGCTGTACATCCTTCCCCCGTGTCACATGATCTGGAGGCGGCGCTCCTCTGGCTGCTAATCCCCTCGCCGCGAGTGTAAACGCAGCATCTCCGGGCCGGATTTGTGCCCCGCAGCGGCTTGCATGCGTCGCAGTTAAAGAGCCATAGCATTAGAGGGAGCCTTTCCGCTGGCTCGCGTCTTGGTTAATGCGGGAGGAAAGGGGAACCTGTAGATATCTGTGAAATCTACCCTCGCTCGCTCTGAGTCGCGTTTACGAAGTCCTCGCTGTTGGCATCGCTTCTTTTGTTGTGAATGCTGTTGTCCCCGGGCCAGACGTGGCAAAAGGAAGGCGGCTGGTGCAGACAGCTGTCCAGCATTCGGGCACTACAGCGCCCCCCAGAGTACTTGGGAATAAGCCTGCAGAGTGGGTGTGCTAAGCTCAGGGTCAGAGGTCACGCCCAGTGTAGCATGCACCAGGCTGGAAAAGGCCCTCCCTGAGCTTACACTGCTTTTGGATCAATGTCTTGCGTCCGTCCTCCCCCAGCTCCTCGTGCCAGTGCCACTGCTGGCCCCCAGGAGCACCTCCACACACTTCTGCACGCTCCTCGCACATATATGTAGCAGAACGGAGGCTGTCAATGAATTAGGCTGCGTGCATCAGCATGGGTGGAGGGCACAGTGGGGGCTGTGAGCTGGAGCCTGGAGAGAGTGCTGCTTGGCCCTTTGCCAGTGTTATACTCTTATTTATTTAGCTGAACTCATCTGCTCTACCTCCGTGTTTTACTGTACAGCCAGCGTGTCGTCGTCTGCTCCTGCTCTAGCTGCCTGATTGTTGTTTTGTTGTTTTTTTGGTTCTTTTTTGATGGCCTGCATACAGATATGAGGCTGGGACACTGTCAGGAGACCTGCCCCCGCTCACGAAGCGGCATATGAACATGAGGGAGGGGCTTTGTGTTCGGACCTTTGTTCCCGCTCTCCCCCCCATTTTCCACTGGGATGTGATGTCACATGGTTTAACCCGCCCCGCCCACTTGATCTGGATGTGTTCCCTCAGTAAAGAGAAACAGCAAACTGAACATGTGACGCCTTCCAAACCGGGGGCGACCGCAGCATGTTAACTGTCCTGTTTTGTGTTGCTTTCACTGTGTTAATCATGGAAAAAAAAAAACTATTAAATGCAAAATTACGGTTAACTTGTTTAATTGGATGCCGTTTCTCTGCATGACGTTCGGTGGGACGCTGGATTTGTTTTTTTTTTACTGAATGCTGGTAAACTTAATCTTTATCTATTTTCTTTGTAAGTGCATAAGACTATTTCGTTCTCAAAATGACAACGACGATGACGATGGTGGTAACGACGATGAAGAATGCAATGATGACGGTGTAATAACAGTTGTACAGCATGCTTTTGTACAGGCCTGGCAGACAGGGTGGCACCGCATGGGTTAGACAGACAGACAGACAGACAGACATACACATTAGAGAATGGATGCCTATGATTTCAGCCCCCTCCAATCTGTGCGCATCACATTTGGCAAGAACACCCCCTAACTGTTGGCCGCAAAAACAATCTACCAGATAGCAGTTTCTCATAATATTGAACTAAATTATCAGCACTTGGAAAGATTAAGAATTAATTTAAAAAAATTTTCTGGAATAATCTGTTTATGGTTAAGTATATTGTTTTCTAGCTTATGAAAATCGCAGTATTTAAGCATGGAAGTAACAGTATGATTTTGTTGTTTGGGTTCTCTTAAAGGGATATTATAAAACTTTATTTCTAATATTAAAGCATGCCGCTCGATGAAGGAACTTTTACTACTTTTTTTCATTGGTTATGGCTGGTTTAGTGTCTCAGATGAATCTTTGTGGTTGCAGGAGAGGCTTTTTGGTGACACTGTAAAGATAGAATGGACCGTTTGTGCGGCGCTACGGACAATGAGCGAAGGTGGTTCTCCAGATGTGGTGTGTAGATTGGGGTGCCATGGCCCTTTTCGCAGTGAGCCCTCCTGCCATGACGGCCCTGAGCTAACCCGTTGTGATGTTTCTGTCATACTTTCCCCTTTTTTAATCGTATATAGTCTTTCTCTCACCTTGAACCTTCGTGTTTCTGTTCCTGTCAGTTGAAGGTTCCTAGTGAGCATTATATCCTATATTTCACTGAGTCCTCTGATGACTGCTCTGTTGTCCAATGTGATCACTGTATTCTCTAACTTAAGGAAATGTATTATGATGTTATCAATAAAAAACGAGTAAAACACAGCTCCGGACCATTCCTCACTCCCTGCTCGCTGTCCTGCTGCAGGCTGCAGTCAGGCCAGATATTATTACCGCTAATGGGAACCACAAGTAGTTTTTAAATTATCTTCTTAAACATTGACAATCGATAGAAATGAACTTCAGTCTCCTCTGAGGTAACCTTCTTGGAATGGGTTATCCGTTATCAGCACATATAAGTGGAAGGCCAGTACTGTCTAGACAAGGGTAAATGCATAGAAATATCACTCTCTGTTTAAAGGAAGACGGATCATACTGACAGTGAATGGTAAGATAAGGACAGACATTTGCGTGCTTTTATCTTTCTGTGTCAGTCCGGGAGATGATGTCTGCTCGCTGCCATTAAGACACAGTGACACATTTTCTTACATTCTAATAATATGAGTTGCATCCAAATGTAGGTAGAAAATAATGAGCAATATGTGGAGCAAGAAAATATCAGTTACTGTTTTATTATACATAGTAACTCGGGCCCTGCAGCCACTCCATCCTCTCGTCATTTATGGCTGTGCTGTCATTGTCATGAGGCCCTCCAAGGTTTCACACCAACACAAGTACATCCATGCACCCATTTTCTGAACCCGCCTGTCCAACTGAGGGTCACGAGGGGTCTGGAGCCTATCCTGGAAGCTACGGGCATAACCAACACAAGTACAGCTTCTCTGAAATATGTGACGCATGTATTTACTGCGTGCCAGAATGGTTTCATCAGTAAGTATTAACCATTTCCAGCTGTACAGAGTAGTGGGTCTTTGAAAAAGATGTGTATTTCATGTGTTCTAGAAGCCATTTTATATGTTTTGAGTTTTTATCCCTGGTAACGATCGATATCGTGCTAGTTTTGCCTGCCTTCAGTCAATTGGACTGGCCAGTTAGTCTCGTAATGCACCTTCCACTTGACGCGTGAGACAAGAAATCTGGCTAATTAGCATTGGCACAGAATCAATGCTGCACAACATTGTACGCTATGGCCCCTTGCATACATTGACACTAAATATAAACTGCCAGTAAAGTAAACCACATTATAAATATTTAAGTGAAGAAGGTGTTTGTTGAGGATTTCAGATGTGAGGTGCTGTTTAATGATGTAATTCCTGAGTCTTTTTTCAGAGTGAATGTCTGTCCATGAGCTTTGCAGGAGTGACGGAACTAATCTCCGGCCATCTTGGTAGAACACAGATATCCCAAGGTCATGGGCCGACCTTGTAGGGCAATACGGCCGATAAAGCCTTGTGAGTAGGATGGAGCTGTTCACCTGGCAACCTTGAATGGCATTGCTAAGATCAGGAACCGGATAAGACTTTGGACGCTTTGCTGTTGTTGTTCAAGCTGACCTCTTAATATGCAATTACTACGTATGAGTGAGGTTAGCATTAGTGCTATATTGTGATAAATGCATCTGGATTAGCCTGCTGTGGTCAGGCAGACATGACCCCAGTGGTGGTACAACGCAAAGGTTATGGGTTTTTTGCTGTTACCGCATGCTAATAGTACATTGCTAGTATTTTTAGCATGATCTACTTGATAATGAAATTGGCTGATTATTGGGCTGCTGGTTTAAATCCCCAATGATAAACGGTGCTCCTGGGAAAAGCATTTAACAAGGACTGCCTCAAGAAATTTCCTGTATAAACGGCTCGATGCACAACGTTCTCAAATCATGGTTCACTAAAATAAAGCTATGAAATGCAGCGCAGGTTTCTACTAGGATATGAGACTTTTAATGATATAAGTTAAACACATTTCATATTTAAATTTTCACATAACCACAAAATATTCATTTCAATATGCACTTACAATATTAAGAATTAGAAAGTTGGAAAGGAAGGAATTTAAGAAAACTGCACAATCAAAATTAATTGAATGCATTCCTGTCAATGTAGTTTGCAATACTAACATTCTTAAACTGGCTATATTTACATTAACATACATTAATATTCCAATGCATATCAGATCTACCATTCTGCTTGTTCATGTTAATCAAATGGTTGCTGTGGAGGCAGCGTGTGGCTCAGTGGGTTAAGCCTGTGTGCTTGTAATCACAAGGTCACTGGTTCAAAACCCAGCCTCAGCATGTCTGTAGGTCCTTGAGCAAGGCCCTTAACCCCCAGCTCCCTGGGTGCCCCAACAGGTGGCTGTCCTTCACAGACAGCTTGTTCTACAAAGAGTAAGTTGATCATGGCATAAGAAGAATTTCCCCATGAGGGACAATAAAGGTTAAAATATTATTATTATTATAAATGTTTAGTAGTGACTGTAGTTTTATATTTTCCTCCTCATTGTGCATGCTTATTTATGACCTAACCCTACTATACCCCAGTTATCCCAACTGCAACTACGGCATCCCATCCAAGGTATGCTGCAGCATCCCCTGCTCCCATATAATCAAATCTTGTTTATTAGTAGCATAATACTGTAATGGCATCCCTATGATCCCAAAAAGGAAATCTAATGAATACCATAGGTAGACAAGGGTGGGACATACCTCAGTCACCTATTGGACAGAGTATCCTTCTAAGGATAGAACATGTATGTCCCATGTAAAAAAAAGTGAGGATCTCACAAGATAATGTCCATGCACCTATAAAGATCTGGTCTGGATATGTTCTTAAGCTGTAGGGGTGTCAGGTTACATCACTCTGAGTAACTGCCACATTTACTGTAAGTCATCTTTACTACCAAAGGCTCCTTCAGGAAAAAAACATGGGAAGCTAGAGCTACAACTTCAATAGCCATTCCATAGTGCTTTTTCAAGTAGGATGTTAGACATATGCCCTGCGATGGGCTGGCCCCCCGTCCAGGGTTGTTCCCTGCCTCGTGCCCGTTGCTACCGGGATAGACTCCGGACCCCCCGCGACCCAGTAGGATGAGCGGGTTGGACAATGGATGGACGGATGGATGGATGTTAGACATATTTGAGTTCTGAGTTCTCTGGAACATGGCATAAAGAGTATTCCAAAGAAGTTAGAGATAACGTGGATCAACTGCAAAAATTAGGAATAAAAAGGGAACAAAATAGTATCTGGGTGTTTGGATGTCCTAGGGGGGCACTGTCACAGACAAATAAGTCAAACCATCCAGACCCTGGCTGGAGAACGTTATCCCTCAAAACTTACCAAAGACGGAAATTTGTCAGAGAACCTACAAAGAAACCAATAGAAAATCAAGTCACTGGTCTCTGCAGCTGTTATGTACCCTATCAGTGTCTGAGGACACCAGAGTATCTTCTCTGTTGACATTGTCTAAAACTGCTCCTGGGTGAAAGTCCTCTAAAGTCAGTTTTTAACAAACTTCAGTGTGGAGATGTTTCTCCCACAGTCCACATGAGTAATGGATAAGGTCATTAGAAGCTTGTAGGCCAGGATGAAGACATGGTATGCATCAGTCAAGAGATTAATGCATGACAGGATGATATATCATGGTCTTGGGACTGGGGATAGGAGACATAATCATGGCTTGCAGGAATCTTTTGTGCATCCTCTACCTGAGTTTCTTTGTCTCAGTCCTCCTCAGCTGTTGCTGTCTCTGTTATGGAGCCTGAAGTTTGAGGCTGATTTCTCCCTTCTGACAGGTTCAGCCTCATCTACTCTTGCTTTTAATGAGATAGGACAGTTATTTATAGCATTGTTACATACATAATTATGCCACGTAAATCACATTTGGTTTGTTGACTGTAATAATGATTACATTTTTACATAATTAGGCCTACAAATATTACATCTGTTTCTAGATTTCATACTAGGCAGCATGGTGGTGCAGTGATTAACGCTGTCACCGCACACTGCTGGGACCAGGGTTCGAGTCTCTGCCATGGCTTGGTGTATGGAGTTTGCAACTCTTCCATGGGTTGTCGAGGGGTTTTTCTGGGTACTCTGGTTTCCCCCCCCACAGTCCAAACTTGTGACAAGTTGGCACCCCATGCTGGTTTGTTCCTTGTCTTGTGCCTGTAGATTTCAGAATAGGCTCCAGTAACCCTGACTGGGACCAGTAGTTACAGAAAATGGATGGATTTCTCACTGTTGCTGTCATAACATTTCATTCTTGTCCTGTAATGTTCTGCAATATTGCCATTTGCTCCTTAAACCTGCATCCCATCACTTGCTGTACCTGTTACCTCTTCCAAAATCTGGCTATTTTCTGCACAGCCCACTTCCTTCTCCTGCTTTATTAGTTACAAGTCTGGATTGGCCTGGAAATTTATCATGGGGAACCACCCCCCACCAGACAAAATTAATTTAAATTCCATTCAGTTAAAATATATTTGTAAGGCTGATTTTCACAACATTACATTGTCTCGAAGCACTTTACATTATCCTGGTATTGGAGGCCAATGCTGACTCACTCTGTAGGAGCCACAGAATTCATTACCTGAGTCAACTTTATCAAGAGCTCTGCATATCAACGTATATGAAGCCTGGTGGTGGTAACTTCTCCATGCTGTAGAGTTGCTTTTCACTGTCAGGAATTGGGCATCTTGTTAGAATAAATAAAAGAATTCATGGTGCAAAATACTGGGAAGTACAATCAGAGAGCCTGTTGTAGTGTGATTACAAACCTGAACCTTAGGAGCATATTCATCCCACAGCAGGACAATGATTCCAAAGTGATACTGGAGTGGCTCAAGAACAAAGTGGTGAATGTGCTCCAGACAAAAGGCTTTCAGATCTCAATCCAGCTCAGTCTGTGATACTATTTGAAAACTATTGTCTGACTCCATTCTAAACACAGACAACATTCAGTGCAAAGTTGGTACCCAGGGTATATATCCTAAAAGACATAAAGCTGTCACAGCATGCAGGTTCCATGTAGGGTCACGGGGGACTGAACCCTAAACCGGGAGCCTGAGAATAACCCAAGATGGGACACCAACCCGGCGGAAGACACACACCATTTGTAGCTATGTGGCAACTCCAGTTGATCTTAGGATTATTTTTTTTGACTGTGAGGGAGAACCAACCTGAGAGAATCAAGATGACGCGGGAAGA